CTACTCTGCAAACTCACAGATACAGTCAGTGTATGTATGTATGTGTGTGTGTGTGTGTGTGTGTTTGTGTGTGTGTGTGTGTGTGTGTGTGTGTGTTGTGTGTGTGTGTGTGTGTGTGTTTGATTTATATATATATATTATATATTAGGGGTGCAACGATACACAAAATTCACGGTGGTTCGGTTCGATACTTTGGTGTCACGGTTCGATATTTTTTCGATACAAAAAAAATGTTCATGCCTTTTTAATTTGTCATTTATTAAAATTATAAATATATATTTTAACTCAAAAGTACAGTTTTTAAATTTAATGTTGCTGAAACAAAAGTAATTAAAAAAATAAATATATCTCAGGGCTCTCAAAATTTCAAAATCCCTGGTAGCCCTTCGGGCAGGGACTCTTCAGTTTTTGGTAGCCCAAAATAAATGTAAGTAGCCCGAATAAAAAAGAGAGCAATTTTTTGATTGATGTTTTGTTTCCTTTACAATATTATACATTAAAGTATAATATTGTAAAGGAAACAAAACATTAATCAAAAAATTGTTGAAAAACAAATTACAACATTGTATAAAAATTACAATCATCAACTCAAATACTTGGTTCTAATTGAACAGAAATTTCTATGAACTTGTAAGAACTGTGTAGGACATGAATCAGTCTGTGTCAGATCCTGAATTTGAAATTTCCACTGAAGTCACGGGTAAGAGGCAAGTGGAACCAAGATCTAGGCCATTTGCTTTTTAAGTTTCAAGGTAAGTGCCGTGGTAGTTCACTCTTTGCAACATAGTACGCTGTTCTAAACAGATTTTTCAGGTTTATTTTTAGTATGTTATTTGCAATTGGTGTTTGTTCTGGGAAAGATATTGCAGACTGAGCAATAATGCATTTCTTGCATTTCTCATGGGTTCTAATGGGGGCCTTTCTTAAAATGACTGGTCCCAGTAACAAAGGCGCTTGTCGACTCAGAAATCGAGAGAAAACCAACAACACACCCGGCAGAACATTATGTTATTTACACGGGTGCACATAAGTGGTCCGCATGTGCGCATTCGCTGTCAAAATAAAAGACGCGCACCAGATAAGAAGTTGCAACGCGCGTTTGCGTCCATATAAAAAGCACTGTTTTTGTCCGCTAGAGTGGGATTTTCACGGCACATTCCGCACCACATCTCTGTGCGTTCATCATTTGTTTGAAGCCAGCTCACCTCCTGCAACCACTTTTCCGAGAATACGCGCTTCTTTTGTGGTTCGGACTCCTTCTGACATTTGTTTGGAGGTGGAGGAACACCAAAGTAATTGCTTAAAGGAGCTTCTTCGACATCTTTAAGAGTTCTAAACAAATGTCTGTCCTCCTCCAGAAAATCTTATGTATGCAAACACGCGTTGCAACTTCATATCTTGTGCGCGTTTTTTTTTTATTTTGACAGCGAATGCGCACCTGCGGACCACTTATGTGCAGCCCGGTTATATAGCTCGTCATATTGCAGCCACAGAAATTCTTTTGTCCATGAAACCATAAAGCTGCACTTTCTTTTTGCCTTATAGTCTGATTTGTCATAACTTTCCGTTTTGTGGTAAGCTTTTCTTTGGCTGTCACTTCTTCACCCTGACCTGTCTTATTTGGCTCAGCAGAACTAAAATATATATCCTGCTGCTTTTACACACACACACACATAACGCTCAGCGATTCTCTGCGCGATCAACCTCTCACATGTTTAAGCTTGCTGCGGAGATTTCACTTGTCATGTTTGCATAGTAAGCTAACGATTGATAAGACGATGTCAGAGGAATTGGTGCGCAAATTATCATCACTCACAGATCAGTGCTGTCGCTCTCTATACACAGTTCGCGCGATTGCAAAGTGAAAGCAAAAAACAAGCGCAAATTCAAACGCGATTTCAATATGTCACATATTGACAGTGGCTCACCGATGCCAATGACATAATTACCCAGCTACATTTCCGAAAGAATGCAAAAGCATTGACATATATTTTTCCTTCCTACAAAAGCCCGACGGGCAGGGCAGAGATAGATTTTGGTACCCCGACTGAAAAAATCGCTAGCCCCGGGACGTCGGGCTAGCGATTTTGCGAGCCCTGTATCTGATTGAGGAATCACTCATCTTTGGAAAAGAGAGTTTATTACAGAGAAATGGCTCTTTCCAAAATAAAAGCTATACTATACGCTTCTTCTGGGCTATATTCTCAGCAGCATATTGTAGCGGGTCAGGGCTGTTCGGGTTCTGTTTGTACAGTTATGTTTTGTTTATGTTGCCATAGTGACGGGTGACGCCCTCTCGCTGCGACGGTGTGTCCTTCCGGGGTCAGAGGGCGCCCTGTGTGTTGTTGTTGTTGCTGTGCGGTTGCCCGCTGAGCAGTTAGCTAGCGGCAGTGTTCTTCTGCAGATGTCAATAAACGGCTGTGCTCCCTGGCTAGCTCACGGGAAGCAAGACCAAACGACACCTCCGTCTCCTCCTTGTCTGAGCTCGCCACATTGGTGTCAGAAGTGGGATGATGGTGGCACCCCATGTTCTGACCCGAGTGACTTTTCCCCCGCCGGTCGTGACCGGCCGGTGCGCCAAAAGAAGGCACCTGGACATTTGCAGGACTTTGTGTGGGGTAATGGGGTCGTCGGGGACGACTGACCCCTTAGGTGGGGGCTATGTAGCGGGTCAGGGCTGTTCGGGGTTCTGTTTGTACAGTTATGTTTTGTTTATGTTGCCATAGTGACGGGTGACGCCCTCTCGCTGCGACGGTGTGTCCTTCCGGGGTCAGAGGGCGCCCTGTGTGTGTTGTTGTTGTTGCTGTGCGGTTGCCGCGCTGAGCAGTTAGCTAGCGGCAGTGTTCTTCTGCAGATGTCAATAAACGGCTGTGCTCCCTGGCTAGCTCACGGGAAGCAAGACCAAACGACACCTCCGTCTCCTCCTTGTCTGAGCTCGCCACAATATTAAACATATCAGGTCCCCATAAGGAGAATCATGTGCTAACGGCTGTCTAAATCTCTCCTCCGCAGATACTGATGGCAGAAATGAGTTTAGTCATTCCTCAGGGTAGCGGTCTAGCTCTCTTAGAGCTAAGGTGATGAGCTCTGTCATTTCGGAGCAGGCTAGAGTAGAGCTGCTGCTACTAAACATCTAAATTAACCAGCTCAATGGTTCAGGATGCCTCCTGGGTGCCTCTTAGGTGAGGTGTGTTGGGTGTGCCCTACCAGGAAGTGGCCTCAGTGCAGACCCGGGACACATGGGAGAGATTACATCTCTGGGCTGGCTTGGGAATGCCTTAGCGTCCCACCCTGAAAAGCTGGAGAAGGTAGTGGAGGAGAGTGAGATCTGGATATCTGTGCTTAGACTGCTGACCTCACAGCCTGGACTCGAATAAGTGGAAGAAAATGGATTAAAAAAATTTCTATTATATTACTTTGCTTGTAGTATATTATACTATAGGATTTGTGTTTTAAGCACTTGAGTTTCTTAGTTCTGTAGCATTTTACATTCTCTCAATAAATTATATTTTTATGCTTTTTTCCCCCCTTTACCATCCAGAATGGGATTTAGAGATGAAGCTGCAGGTTATTTTCACAAAGCTCTAAAGATGAGACCAGACTACCCAGAGGCCAGAGAGAACTTCTACCGTGTGGCCAACTGGCTGGTGGAGCGCTGGCATTTCTTCATGCTCAATGACCACGGGAGAAACCAGAAGTACCAGCAAGCCATTCAGAAGGCTGTTCAGAAGGGCTGCAACACTGTACTTGACATAGGTACTGGCACTGGAATCCTTGGGTGAGACATTTTCCATTGGAATTTGAAACCTGTTCATTTGCTTAAGTTATCCAGTGTGATTTGAAAGTTAAATTTGGACTCTTTGATACAAACTCCAGAGTTAGTGGTGGATTTATGCTTCTTATTGTGGCTACAAAGGTGAATTCTTGTCCTGATTTCCTGTTTCTCCCTGTGAAGTATGTGTGCTAAGAAGGCAGGGGCTGCTGAGGTGTACGCCTGTGAGCTGTCAAAGACCATGTATGAGCTGGCCTGTGAGGTGGTGAGTGCTAATGGAATGGACGGCAGCATCAAGATCCTCCATATGAAGTCCCTAGAGATGGAAGTGCCAAAGGACATACCGCACAGGTGCACTTTGTACCTAAAATACTTTTTAATCACCCTCCAGGTGTTGTAGTTTAGCCAGTCTCAGTGTGTAGTGGTGTAATGATCCTTGTTTTATGAAGTCTTTTAAAAAATAAGGTTTTTCCATAAATGCTTTTATTCTTCCTGCAAAGAGTATCACTGGTGGTGACAGAGACAGTAGATGCAGGATTGTTTGGAGAGGGCATCATAGAGAGTCTGATTCACGCTTGGCACCACCTCCTGCTGCCGCCCAAGGTAACTCCTAATCATTAAACACAAAGATGAGTCTGTAAACACGGCAGTCCTTCATAAACTAGTAAATAAACTGCAGATGTCTAGCTGCAATCATTAATGCATTCATGCACTTACAGAGGGATGACACTGGGTTTGGGTGAAGTTCAGTTTCTCCTATGTTCAAGTGAAGTACTTTAATAGATTATTTGAAAAAACACACAATTGAGCGCTCAGTACTTAAAGTCAATACTTATCTTACACAACAAAACAAACTGAACCATGGTTGGGGCTTTGGTCTGAGATCAGATTTAAAAAATAACGACTGAATGTACGAAAGAAGCAATGTTTGTAGCTCAAAAATCCCACATAAATAAATAAAACATTTAGACAGTTTTGCACATGAGCCATGTGGATAAAACGGATGTAATTAATTTGAAAAAAATCACATAAATTCAGAAGACATATGTAGGTAGGTGAAAATGGAGATAGAAAAGGTTTCAAAAGTCTTCTAGTGAGTAACACTTCCTATTGAACTGATGGGACAAGCATCAAGAAAGCGATCACGTGTTTTAGCCCAAAAAAGAAGTTCTGACATAATCTCTGCGTCACAACTCAGCGTTACCAGTTTGTAGGGTACAGGCATAAAACCAGTTGTTGTTGGTTTAGCAAAGTTATTTATTGCTTTGCAAAAAACAAAAGGTGCAATAAAACTGCAAGTAGGAGAGGACCGGTCAAATCTGCGAAAGGAATAAAAAGACAGAAGCGGGCTAACAAAGTAACAGTGACTTATTCAGTAATAAAAGGAAAATGAAAGCAACACTCAGGATATAACAGTGTCTAAGAAGTGACCATTTGAAACGTCTCGCTGTGGTGTTTATGTGTTTGTGTGTGTATCTGTGTGAATGAGAGAGCTCAGCCTGACCCAGCCCGCAGCCAGTAAAAGAAATACCTCAGAAATGCAGATAAACTGCACTTATTGCATGCTTATGGCCTGCTCAGCCTGAGTCAGTTAAGCTTATAAGAAGTTTGTCAGTGGCGTAGACCAAAAGGTGCAGTGGTGGGCTGCAAAAAATGCAATTCTAGTCACCTGGTATTGACCTGAAGTGCTTAAATAAGGCAACAAAAGCAGGTCGAGCTTGCCGATTGGTTGGCAGAGTAAGAGGAACTACAGAGCAGGATCCGCCTATGACAAAAGCACAGAAAAAGCTACATGCGGGCGACACTGGCCTGGGTGGTAACACAGTGTCAGCACAAGCATCTGTTAATGTATAGCCAAGGAGCAGCCTGTTAAGTGTCAGAATAACACATGCTGTTAAAGCCAAATGCATCCAGTCGACTTTCATGTGAAGTGTTAACAATATTAATAGGATTAAATGCTCAGTAGCATTAACCACAAATATGCCTTTTCCCCACAGAGGGGTGAGAATGAATTTGGGGAGCAGTCTGCCACAGGACGGGTCATCCCCGCAGGAGCCACTGTCTTTGGTATGGCTGTCGAGTGCAGCGAGATCCGCCGGCATCACAGGTAGACCCGGGAGCGACCTTAAAAAGAACACTTGTGTTCACTAGCTGTCTGCATCAATCAGCTGACTGCGTGTCTTTTTTTTCTTTTTATGCAGGCTGTGTGTGACAAAGGTAGGCGGTCTCTCCATGGCTGCAGCTGGAGAGCTCCACAGCCCAGTGAGCTGCAGCTCCGAACCAGACGACTCCATGGAGCCGTACACTACAGAAAGACTCAGCAGACTGCCAGGAGGATATAAACCTCTCACAGAGCCATTCACAGCCCTCAACATAGATTTCAACAATGTGCAGGTGATGAGGGCTGACGCATATTCAGAAATAGCCAGTATGATATTAGTTTGTTTTGACTTTACTTTTGCGTGTCCTTTGTCTGCCATAGCAATGACCAGAATAATTTAATAATGAGAAAAGAATTATCTGACCTCGTTACAGGCAAAGGATATTTATTCATACACGTGTAGTAAGCGGGCTGTCGCCTCGATGCAACGCTGCCACTTTAGCAGATAAGTGATACTTAGATTTATGCTGAAACGTGCAGCTGGTGTCTTGAAAACTATAGAAAGTGAAACTTTTCCAGCTGCACTTTGTTCTTTAACATTTGGAAGGTGTTCCTTTAAGAACCTCTTGCGTATGAGATTACGATTATTATGTGTAGAACCGGACCGATATATCGATAAGGTGATAGATTAGCTGATAGATTGTTTTTGGCATTTATATTGGCTGATAAATTACATTAAAAAAAATAAGAAGCGATGAGAGGAACAACCTTCAGCTGTGTTTGAGTGTTGATGTTGCAGAGTTTATCCACTAGAGGGAACTCTGCTAATTCCCATTCAAATCCACCTTTTCATAGATATGAGTGCAACTTGGAAATGTATTTTTCTAGTGTTAGCATTTAAATTTTGAACTATTTTAACATATCCACTGGCATGCTTGCACTGAAGTAAATATTGTTTTTTTAAGGTGGAATTGAACCATCTCAGATGATGTTTGCTGTATTGCATACTACGCTGCTCTTTGCGATAGATGAAAATGGACTGGTACTAATGTAGGGCTTTTCTACTCAATTTGAGGAGAAAGTGCTCATTACTACAAGCCTCATTCATGCATTCATATCAGTGCTTTTTTAATTCTTAAATGCCTTTGTCTAACAAACACATACACACATGATTAGAGATTAGAGGAACCAGTTATTGAACCACTGACCATCCGATTAGCAGACAACCCGCTTTATGTCATAATCTGTAACCGCCTCACTGCAACTCTCAGTGCGTGCCAGCAGCATGAGAGGAGAGATTTAATAGCAAAACAGTGGTAATGGTCTTGGAGACTTGAAATTTCTGAAAGTGCCGGACAACATCTGCTTATTGTTCAGTCTAACAAGCAGATTGTCTTTGAATTACTTTAAAAGCAGCAACATCTGTCAAATTTATCAGCCCTTCCGAGTATAAGCTTGAATTGAGTTTTGATTTTAGCTCCTTCAGAGATGTGTTGCTTCTGCTTTAAGTGTGACTTGTTTTGTAACCTGTAGGAGCTGGAAGGTCTGAGCTCCAGGGAGGTTCAAGAGATCCGGCTGCCCGTCATTCAGCAGGGAGAGCTGGATGCTTTGGCAGTGTGGTTCCAGCTCCACCTGGATGAGGAGAACAGTCTGTCTACTGGACCCCAGGAGGACACTTGCTGGGAACAAGCCATCTACCCCTTCCACAGTGCCAAGGGTAAGATAGGTGGAGACTTCGTCACTTATTGTAGTTTACATACATTGCTTTTGTTAGCCTTGTCTTAAGGTAAATTTTAAGCACATAACCAGTCCACTTCTTCATTCTCATGAATTGAGCATGTTTAAATGAAACATCTGATCTGCTTGTGTTTGCTTCTCGTTTATCTTGCATTTCTGTGTTACGTCAGATGAGGGCAGTGTGTGTTAAAGTCTTCTCTGTTTAATAATGTGTGGATTACTTTAAGAAGCATTTTAGCTGCTAATAATAATTTCTGTGTTGTTATTTTCTGGGAATTTTCCATTACAACATGTAATTTAGTGACACTGTAAAAATCACCTTTAGTGAAATTGTAAGACTCATTTAAGAAATATGGTATCAGCTCAAATAAAAATAGCACACGTCTCTGTATTTTTAAGGCTCACAGTAAGGCTATTAAAGTAGCATAAAATGGATACTATGAAACATTAAAACTGTCAAGACTTTTAAAAAGTTTTAATTGCTTTCTGAGCTTTAAATTAACTTTGGCAAATGTACCTAAGGGCACTGCATACTCTTTACTCTGCTACCATCCCAGGCCAGCGTGAACTTAATAGCCACCGACATTAGGTGACATGTTCCGGTTGGCATCGCAGTACATCATCTTTGAGACAGGCCTCTACAGCATTTCACTGCAGCGCTAATTGGCGAAGGCAGCCTCAAGGGTGCTGCCACCTTTCCCGGTGATCGCCAACATCCGTTTCCCCGCTGCCGTGACACGTGCGCCCTGATCGCCTGTGACACTCTTTAGTGTTCATGAAATTCTTATAGGCAATAAATATGCATTTTCCTCAAACGCCTGTGACGAGCCGCGTGTTGACGCGAAGACACGAGCAGATGTTATTCCTGTAGGAATCCTCTCGCTGCTTGGTCCCTTGAATTATAATTTCTCTGCTGGGTTCCTTTCGTCTCCTCTGTGCTCTTTTTGTTTTCCATCCTGCGTGCCCATTTCTCACATTTCAGCAGACATCTAAATAGTGTTCAGTATATTTTTAAGATGTTTTTAACTATATTTTTTTACTGTGTCTATAAATCATGTTTATGTGTACTTATTTTAAAATAACGGTTTTGACACAAGTGACGTTCGTTGCTAACACAAAAAGATTGAGAAGGAATAGACGAAGCATGTAAAAGCAGACATTTCCTTATCTGGAAGGATGCAAGTACTGAATAGTATGCAGTCAGAAAATAGATCCTTTTTTAGTTCCAATCAGAGTGTTACAAAAACAAAACGTGGTGCTATTTATTTAATAAATGTAAATAAATAAAAATGATTCAGTAGCTTGTAGAAGCAGCTTCAACAGCATGAACTTGGAGCGATCTTGATTTTGTGTAGGACTTTATCAGTGTCCCTCATTATTGTAAATGAATGACAGACAGATGACCTTATATTTACTTTAGAATACTTTGGTACACAGGGGTGTTCATGGTCGTTTGAGAAGCCATACGCAAACACAAACCAATAAAAATGATCAAAAACAGGCAAAAAAATGTATGATTACGTGTTATTTAAGAGTAATGCATCTTTAGTAAGGCCTAATGGTTACACTGAATTTTCAGTATAATTTTATTTCTTGAGTCTCTTGATCATTTTCCTTCATTGAATTTTTTTTTCTCAGGTTTTGTCCTGAAGCCACGAGATGAGCTGATTGTTGAAGTCTCCTGCCGAGATGCCTACCTGAGGCTCTGCAGTGTTGCTGTGCTGAGAGACGGCCATAAAATCAGTTTAGACAAACTAATGGATTCTCAGTATCCTGTTTCAAACCCAAACCCAGAGGCAGAACTGTGCAGTGCATTAGCATGTCTTCAGACTGATCAGAGTCAAGCGAGAGACTTCTGCATGCTGGAATGTTCGGAAATGGCGCTCCTGAACAATCAGGATTACCATCAGAGTTTTTGCACTGCGTTAGCCAAACTCATCTCCCAGCTGAAGGTTAAGTGCCAAAACCAAGAGCGAGGGTCTGCTTTTCAGCCCGGCCCCGCTGTGGCCACACGCTGCGCGAGCCCGTTTTATGTGCTTGACGTGTCGGAAGGCTTCTCTCTGCTCTCCTTAATTGCTGCCAGCCAGGGTCACGTGAAAGCCTTCAGCTCGGTGGAAAAGAAGAAGCAACAGGAAGTGCTTATAAGACTGGCTCGCTCCAATAATGTCTCGGAACAGCATTTGGAGTTCTGGCTAAACAACACGGAGGATGAGCAGGGGATGCTGCAAAGGCCTTCCAGGGAGAAGCTGTGGAGTGCCATCATCCTGGACTGTGTAGAAACCTGCGGCCTCATACGGCAGAAGCTGATGGAGAAAGCGTCACTGGCCAGGTAGGAGTGTGCAACTGATAAAGTATTTTGCTTTTGCATGTTTTAATTCAGTTTTTAGTGCTTTGCTTTTAGACGTGTCAGCTCAATTTCTATCAATTATCCCAGATGTCTGCTGGAGGAAGGAGGACGTATTTTCCCGGGAAAGATTGTGGTGTATGGTATGCTGGTGGAGTCTGAGACTTTGCTACTGGAAAGCGCTGTCCAGGGTCAGGAGCCCACACTTGGATTCAATATTGCTCCTTTTATCAACCAGTTCACTGTAAGTATGACTGCAAAATCTACCAGAACACTTTATTATGGTATTTTATTTTGCATGTGACTCTGTGTGTGTGTATGTGTGTGTGTGTGTGTGTGTGTGTGTGTGTGTGTGTGTGTGTCTTAAATTGGTAAATACGTGTTTTTTTGCATAAATATCGTTAGGTTCTAAAAATATGCCTTTGATTACAATCCCTGCTAATGTTAGTTTCTATAAATTTGTCACCTTTAACATGGATTTCTAAGCTGTGTACAGAGCACCATGTAGTAGTGCAAAGTTCGAACAACTCTTTGATCAGAATCAAACAAAAGTGCCCCGGTTAAAGTTTGTAGCTCCATCGTTCGGGACAGCTGTGGCTCAGGTCAGAGTCAGAAGGTCAGTGGATCAATCCCTGGCTCCTGTAGTCCATGTGCTGAAGTATCCTTGGGCAAGCTTCTGAACCTGGAGTTTTGTGTGAATGTTAGAAAAAGGGCTTGGGGGACATAAAAGCACTCTGACTGTGTATAGGGTGAATGAGACTTGGTAGTAATAGAAGGTGCTTTGAGTGTTGAGTAGAATGGTGCTATGTAAGTACCAGACAATTTACCATAATTTCCATGTACTGTGGGTGAAAATTATACTTATTTCCATGTAGTTTAGTGGTTTTTAGGTAAAAAATAAATAAATCCTTATTTATCTTACACTGGGTGTTGATGCCAGCCTTCAGTTCATTCACCTTTGCACAGACTCAGTTTCAGCTTTTGTCTTTTTAAAACCACCTTCCCTAAAACCACTTTCTTTGATTTGCCTCCAGCTGGCTTGTGCTTGTGTGCACCATCTTTTCCACTTGCCGGTGTGGAGGTTGTTTAAAAAAAAAAAAATGGCAGCGTCTCAGATCCATCTGTACATTGAATCCAATCTGGAATATGGACATTGTGAACATCCACAGGGAAAAAAAATACCACAGTTTGATAAAAATTATTACCTGTGAAAGGACAAACCCACTGGCAATTAGTATCGACTGTTGTTTGAAAAGTAGATTTGACTTGCTTTTTTGTTTTTTTTTTAAATTAGCCACCAAAACATTTGCAACCTGCAACGTAATGCTAAACTTTCTGAGTCGGATGGAGCAGGTGTGCATGCTACGCTTAGCCTGATACTTCTGGTTTTGCCTGAGAATGACCATATAAGGAAATCCCCTCTTGCTGACACCAGCCAGACCCAGTAATAGAAGAAAAAATTAGGACAGTCTGAAGCTTGAGCTTTTAGCTTACAGAGATTACTTGTATATAATTTTTTAAAACTTTTATACCTTCCAAGGTATGCAGAAGAGCGTCAGTGAGGAGACATGTCAGCTAATAACGACACTGAAGCTACAGTTTGCACAGGCTCACAGGAGTATTGTTGCTGACCATGTCCACCCTCTTCACTCCATGTCACAAAGATCAAATCATCCCAAACTGGTTTCTTGAATATCACAATGAGTTCACTGTACTCAGGTGACTTCCACAGTCACTAGTTCTCAAGCCAGTATTTATGCCATGAAGAATTGGTCCGTTATTCCATAACCATATTTGTTCCTTCTTGGAAAACCCCCCACCATTTCCATCAGTACTCAAACATGCTCCAAAACTTTTGTTTTTGTATTATTTCTTCATTCATGCTTAAGCAGACCAGATTCCTTGTCTGTATTAGCATTTTAAATTAAGCGACTTATATTCTTCTCAGTGTGGATGGCACAAACATTTTTCAAGACTTAATTTCTAAACAGGAGGATGACATGAGTTGTTTTACTTATAACAGCTTAATAATTTCAGCTACAAAGCGTCTTCTTACGATCTATAGTGGTTTTAAATTAGGTCAAATAAATTACAGGGAATCACAATCAAATCAGATTGTAAAGCCAAGACTTTTTCAGTTTTCATAAAACAGTTTTTACTTTGCTTTTGTACTTCTCTGGCTGCTTGTATCTGATATTCTGTCTCATGTCCATGATGCAATAACAGTCAATATTGACAGTTTTCGCATACAGTATGCCATGTTTGTAAGCCCGCATCATTTACAAAGATCGTACAAAAGGGTTATTTTAAATAGGACTGACACTTGGTGCGGTGTTATTAAAGTATAAGAAAAAATATCTCCGATCGAATGTGACGTGCCAGAGATAATCAGGCGGATTGGTAGAAAACACACAAGTACTTCATTTGGAATACCAAGGTCCAGGACTTTGTTTTCTGTGCTCTTCTTTTGAAGTGTGTCTCTGCGTGAAACAAGCTGTGGATTTCCTTTGAATTTCTTCTTCTTTATTTGGTCTGGAAATATTTTTTCTTTCCCTAGCATGATGTTTGCGCTCTAATTTTGCAGGCCTCTCTCGGGACGGTCGTTTGTTTTAACAGATGTTGTCTTTGAAGCCCTCGGCGGAGGGCACTTCCTAACACAACTGTCACACAAGACACAACACATAGCTTGGCCCTAAGACATTCCTACCTGAATACATCAGTGCACATTACATCAGGCACATCAAACAGTGGGCTCTGAGGTCTACACAACTGCGACAGGGAGGAGAAAAGCTTCTTTTGTTCTGTAGTCAAGGAAACTATGGCACTTTCTGTGCTGCCACTTTCTGGCAGGTTTTTAGGTCTGCTGCGGCCCGTCTGGATGAGGTGGAAGATGTGTTTTTGAGCTAACCCGTGAGGGAGTGAGGCCCCTGCTGAAAATAACATTGTGTGGTTAAAAACTAATTTTTGAGACCAACAACAGTGAGTCAATTTAGCTGTTCCTTTATTCTTTTTAATCTTAGCCTGCTATTAAATTTTAAAATAATCTGTACCTTTAGCAGAAGTAAACAGTTTTTTTCTTCTTTTAAGAAATAATAAGAAAGATTCAACAAGAGCTCCTTTTTTAATCTTCTGCCTGAAGCTTACTTACACGTGTTTATGTCAGAGGTTCTCAATTTTTTCTTAAAAGTTTGGTGACTGAGTGCCAATTTCAGAGCCAGTGCATGAGTGAGATTCACACAAGATTAGAGCTTATATACTTACCAGCCACTTTATTTTTAGTTTTAAGTGCTTATGAAAGCAAATATTTAATCAGCGAATCACATGGCAGCTCCTTGTTGCATTTAGGCATGTAGACACGGTGGAGACGACCTGCTGAAGTTCAAACTGAGCATCAGAATGGGGAAGACAGGTGATTTAAATGAATGTGGCATGGTTGTTGGTGACAGACAGAAACTGCTGATCTGGTGGGATTTTCCCACATAACCATCACTAGGGTTTCTAGAGAATGGTCCTAATAAGAGAAAATATCCAGTGAGCAGCAGTTCTCTGGGTGAAAATGCCTCATTGATGCTGGAGGTCAGCCGATGGGAAGGTGACTGTACTTCAAAAAATTACTTGTTCTGAATACATAACATGTTAATGGGCTACAGCAGCAGAAGACCACAATGCATGCCAGTAAAGGAAAACGGGTCCAACCTGGTACTTGCAGGAAGTACCTGGTAAAGTGGCGTTTATGTGACATTTTCAAAGCATAAATGCCTGTTCTGGGCCATACTGGGTAATAGTATTTATGGGTAAGTATTTAGAGTACCTATAAGTATTTATAGTAGTTATGGCATTTGTTGACACCATCAGTATTTGTTAATGTTAGGAAGGCTTTTTTTCACTTGTGGGTGAATGAAATGCAACATAATTGTTCCCTTTCCTTTATTATGTTTTTTAGGTACCGGTCCATGTGTTTCTGGACTTTTCCACACTGGAGTGCAGACACCTCAGTGAATCTGTAGAGCTCTTTGTTCTCAACCTCATGGATGCCAACGCAAACTACATTAACAGAGAAGTCAAGGTTAGTTGTGCATCAGTACTTTCAGTGATCGCATCATGACTGGAACATGTATTAAAAAGATTTTTTTTAAAGTAAATAAATTGAAAAAGAAATGTCACCTGTGATAGAACAGGGCTGAAGTGCTGAAAATTAATTTACACATTAAATCTGCTGATTAAAATTCACAAGCATGAAAAAAGAAGTAGAAATGAGTCAGACCTGTATTTGTCTCCCCCCAAAAACTTTTAACCTCACTTTACTTTCTGACTTTGCTTCTTTGGTTCTGAATGAACAGGTCCAGGCTACATCTACAGGCAGGATAACTGCAATTCCCTTCTGGTATCACATCTACCTGGACGAAGAGATCTGCGTGAGCACCCTCGGCCAGGCTGCTCACTGGAAGCAGGCCGCCGTCGTTCTGCAGCAGCCCCTGGAGGTACGAGCAGGAGAGTGGGTCCGCCTCGGCGTGAAGCTTCACAAAAGCACCATCTCCATTTTGGCCCATATAGAAAGCACACCTCAGCAGATGGAGTGATAATCGCTCACATTTTAGCTTATTTGTAATACATTTCAGCCCACCGTTGTATCGGCTGACTGATAACAAAGACAGTATTGGTCTGTCAGATGTATCAGAGTCGGTGTACTTGTTGTCTGATGGCCATTTTTGTTGTTACAGATCATACTGCAGAAAAAGATGCTTGCGGTAAATTGCATGTAGAAATTGTGTCATCATGTTTGCCCAGCAGTTCACAGCCTGCTGTTTACAATATTCTCAGCACTGTCTGCAGAATACGTATGAGAGTATATTTCAAAGAACACTGCTGCTAATATTACATTCCTAGTATTTTTAATGCCCTTTCTCTATTGACATTTTTCATGTAGTACTAGTCTCAAAACATTGGGATCACAGTTTAGCAACTCCCTGCATGAAAAAACCCTTGTTAGAAGTTTAAGTAAAAAGCCTGCTGTATAAGGAAAATAGGTCCACAAGGACTTGTACTTACGTTTGTAAGTAGATAATAAAAACATTAGCCCTTAATTACTGACACAGTTGTTTTTTGTAAACATCATTCACTTGAACCATAAATGTTGCATTTTTATAATAAAGGCAAGAAAAACGAAGTCATATTTCATTTGATTTATTGAGGATATCTGAGATGGAATTAAATCAAAATGTAGAACGACGGATCTGATGCAATTGCGTCAGTCATATTTTAAAAGAAAAAGAAAATCCCATAAGGCAGTGCGACATACCAGAGTCAGGCATGATGCCAGTTACCCCTCGCTGTGCCACACACTGATATCCCAAAACTGTACATTAACGATGGCAATATCCCTGAACAAATCTGTGACTTCACAAAGAAGGATCCTTTAAAAACCTATGGAAAAACAAATGGCTTTAGTGCAACAGGTGCAAAATTATTTCAGTTTACAAGAGACAGAAAACATCTCACCAAATAATAAATGATCCCAGATTGAAAAATAAAATAAAACACATTCTACATGGATGTGTAAACAGACTAGTTACACAGCACACAGAACAAGGCATCTGCGAAGACTAGCGGATTTTATTAACTGTCGAGTAAGCTGTACGCATTAAAGCATAGATAAGAGCCAACCAGAAGGTGCTGATTGTACTTTTTAAAACTGAATTGTGATTTTAATAATACTAGGATTGTTTAATTGTATATATTCGTACTCTTCTGAAATGGAGTATACTACATTTATACTGATACTGTGTGATATTGTCAGTTATGACCCCTCTAGTGATGTACACATCATTGTACCACAGTTAACTGTGGTACAAGATCGTGTTGCTCTTTTCTCCCCTCTGAATCGACTAGTTAGAACGAAACGACTGCAGATATCTGTAGTTATAATAGTGCAGGTTTTCAGTTTTTCAAAAACCAGTAAAAGCATGATATTTAATTTAAAAGGTTGCATATTTCCCTCTTCGTCACATCTGAGATTACGGCATGAATGACACGTAAAATTGTATAGTTTCATTTTTGGAAAACACTTCTCCATATTTCACTTATTCTTCGGTGAGAGCCATGTTTTGTCTGATCTTGTGTCTTTCCTGTGTAAAACCAATTCTAGCTTAGCCTACTCTCTAATAAAACATAAAACAGCAAAATGACATTGCTTACTAGTCTTTTAGTGCCATTAAATCACCGAACATTCTTGAAGCTGTCACTGGAAGTGGACTTTGACTACTACATGGTCATTGTGCCCTTTTAAATGAGTTTGTCTTGTTTGCATCAGTGACGTTTGAAAAAATGTGGCAAGGCTATAATTGGGCCCTGCCCAACCATGTCTGGCAGAGTTTGTTTGCGACACCTAAGCTAGGTGATCACAATGAGATCTGCCTCTGTCGGGTCTTTGGTTTGGTTGGTAGTTTCTTCATCCTGGGTTTCTTCAGGTCGAGCCTCACACCCTTCCTCCCACAGGGCTGAGCCGAGCCCAGCGGGTGCTGACAAAGAGTGTGGAGCGGGGGTTCTGCCCAGGCCCTGATAGTGACCCTTAGGAGAAACTGGATTACAAGCTGCTTCGGTGATGGCATCTTGAGACGCAGAAGAGAGCAGGCCGGATCGCTCACCATCACTTTGCGCCTCATTGAAGTAGGACTTTCTCGGACGACCCATAACTGTTCTTCCTGCAAATGTGGACAAAGAGAAACTATTAAATATTTTTTAGAGAGGATGCAGTAAAGATCACGTTATGATGGCTCACATCAGTAACAATGCTATTCATGTAGCAGTGTGTAGTAGTCAGTTCTAGATTATCACAGGTACATCTACAGTACAGATGGTTTTGGTAGGTGTTTTTGCTCTGAGTTTTTTCTGTTTTGCTTGGATGGGATCACAACCATCACGTGGTCATTGCCATTACCATTTTGTACAGTCAGAAAACTGCACAGGACTTAGTACAATCAGTGACTACTGAGTAAAGGGAACCTAAAATAAAGAAGCCAAGCAAGTACCGACTCCAACATGCACCTTTTCCACAATCTTTTAAATTCTGAATGTTGTTCTAACTACACATTTTAAATTGTGTTTAAAAATCGCTGCTGAGGCACTCCCTTCTCAGTATAGCCTGTTATACATAAGTAACGAGCAATCATCTTGCAGACAGTATTTATTGTTGAACTGGCTCCTCATTTTTGATCTCAACTCTAGTATTGCAGTCACAAAACCATACAAACAGTCGGAAAAATAGCTTAAATAATCAACGATACCAACTAGCTTATGGTACTATAGCACTTATAGTACAGCAGGAACACGTACCAACATTGCGGACTTGTTCAGAAATATCTGCTCTGACATCGGAGATGTCCCACATTGCCATGAAAGAGTCAAAACAAGACACTTCTTCGGCCTCCTGCACGTAAGGTTTGTAGGTGAAGCTAAAGTGATGGGCAATGGCTGCGAGAAACATCTCCACACATATGATGAAATCCTAAAGAAAAAAAGTGGACAGCTTCATTGTGTTGCACTATTAGGTCCCATAGGATATATTAGTTCTGTTGACCTTGGTCAGAATGTTTAAACTATACTCACGTACCTGTAAGCCAGTAGCTACAGCTTCCACACTTTGCCAGTCCCATGTGCGCTTCTCTGAGATAATGCCCACTTTAACCAGCAAAGCAATGACCACAGCTTGCCTAAAACGATTTACAGCAATCACAGTTTCATTAGCCTTGTTTTAAATGACTTTTTCAGAAATATTTGGGTCATGTCATGAAGTTTTAACACACTGAGATTTACCAGAAAGAGACGAACACCACCATTTTCACACACAGGAATTTGCCGACTGGTTTGATTGGATTCAGCTCCTCTCTCAAAGCCTTGTAGAAGAGCACCAGGCAGTACATGGCAAACTAGATCAAAAGAAGACATAGAAAGGAATGGGAATGAAGGAAGGGAATGCTTGTAACAATTTTAGTCCAACTTTTAACAGGATTTAGATCCACCATTACCAGCTGTGACATATTGTTGAAGATCACCAGGTATGTCCAGGCGTTTTTGAAACTGAAGTTGCCTTCATCGTACACTCGACACAGCTGACAGATTCTAGAAAGGAAGAGAAACACACAGCTGAGATCAACAGACACCAAACAAAATGTGACTACAGTTAAAGAATAAAGCATGTAACAACCAGAGGGTACTCACAAAGCAATGATTGTGGTGACAGGTCTTACTACTGTGTACTGCAACACTCCCAGCTTACATCTCAGCAGCAGAACCCTGCAGAGGAATTTGATCATCTGAATTAGAAGTGAATTGGTCTGAAATTCCAAGAAAAAGCCCAAGACTGGTGAGCAGAAGTATCTCAGGATCACTTGGGCAGAAGCCCGAGACCGGCTTGATGATAACAGTTAACACTGAACTTAGTTTGTGTCGTCCTCAACACAAACTAAGTTATGGCCCATTTTAGCCACATTGTATTTGTATTCCTATTTAAACAATGAGGTTGCTGATGCTGGCCATTAGTACTTCTTTTTATACATCTACACCAGTCTCTTATATACAAAGGTCACCTGAATAAATCTGGGCTAAATTAACAGCACACTTGACCAATTATCAATTACAGATGTTGTGTGATTGAGGCTAATTTGAAGCTTGTGACTTTCACTGAAAGATTTGAGCTCCAAGAGTTTAGTACATTAAGATGAACCCGTTTCATTTCATTCATCCGTTTAAATTTACAAAACCTCTCTGAAATGAAAATACATCGAAAGAGAAAACATTGTGCAAGAAGACCGATACAGATTAAATCTCTAAATTGTGGCCATTTCATTGATACAGTAAGGAAACATGACTATGGCCAATAATTCCAGTAAAACATCAGTAGATTGTCCATAAAACTAACATTTTTGGGTCAAAGTATAAACAGATGGTAATGTTTAACTAATATCGTTTTTGCAGCAAAGGTATGACCAACACTTGAGCGCAGCTAAACTCTGGGTCAGTGAATTTAACCTGCTGACAGCTACAGTTTGACATAAGAGGAAAAAGTTTAAAGGGAACTCACTCTCCCATTGGCCACGGTGGGCAGCAGCAGAGAGGAGGCAGGTGTTTCTGCTGCTCCTGAGCCTCCAGCATCAACACCAGGTTGGGGTACTGGTTTTCCAGGTAGTTAAGCAAGAACGTCATGAAGTTGTAAATGACATACGCCTCGTAGCACTCCCTGCATGTGTCAAAATATATTGCTATACTGGGGTATTTCAGTGCAATCCACTGGAAACAAAAAAAGATGAAAAGGGAACAATAACAGGAAAAGCTATGAGGATATATAAACTCATAAACCGGTGTGCGATGGCTTTCATTAAAAAAAATGCATAACTCACACTGTCCAAGCTGTAGATTGGAACCATCCACAATATCCTTTAAATAGAAAGCACAAAAGCGTTAAACATCTGTTCTGGGCTCCTATTTGTGGCTAAAATGACTGTTAAGATCTTTACCTGATGATAGGTTTTTGAAGCTCTGGCTGAGTATAATGCACTAGATGCTGGAGGATGCCCCATAATGATATGGGTATGGTCATGAAGACAAAAATCCCAGCGATGAACCATGCTTTGTTATGAGTGCCAACCTGTCGGGACATGGAAAGGAACAGTCAACAACATTTAAGTCATTTAGCCATTGGAGTCTTGGAGGGTATCATTTAATATAAAGTCAATGGTGAAAGCAGTATTCAGATTCTGAAGTACAGAAACATTACAACCATGTAAGAACACTTAATTTCAAGTCCCGTATAAAGGGGACGTGTTTAACTAAATTGCAGTGCAGTGTGATGACTTGGATAAAGATAGTTTTTAAAGAAAGTACAATTAAGGAAAGACTGTTTTAGTTAAACACACCAGAAGAACAATGAAGATGGTAGTTATTTAAAAAAATAAAAAAGGTCATCTATATTACTCTAGCAGATTTTATGACTTTTGAAAAAATAAAACAAGACTTCAAAGTCTGTCATTGACTAGTTTCTTGTTAATATGTAAAACATCAGCAATCTTAACAGTTATAAAACCTATAT